CACACGCACACGCACACGCACGCACGCGCCCACGCTGACACTCACACGCACACACCCACGCCCACGCACGCACGCACATCATATTTCTCAACACGTTGGGTTTACGGCACGACCAAGACACGTATCGGCATTTACGAGTGAAATATAGCTGCACATCAGCTATATACCACCGTTTATAATACGCGTCCGCTCGCGGCGGCACATGCCCAACGCTCCGCATATCCTACATAACTCACCTCTACCACCTCTCTATAGCACAATAAAACATTAACAATAACTATTTAGCACGCTCGATCCACAGGCATAATCTCACCTCTACCGCCACCGCCCTGATGCTGAACTACTACATGCTAACTACGACTACTAAACGCTCTACCGGCATATATATCTCACTTCTACCGGCACCGCCCTGTGTGTTACCATGGGGTGATTACACCCCCACAGAAGAAATGTTATCGGAGCATCTCTCGCTATGCGAATAACGGCTTTATGCATGCTTCCTTTACGCATCCGATTTCGGCGCCACGGAATCCGCGCCCCCCGGGCGGAAGCCTCTCGCAGACGAAATACTAATTCGCGAGCGCCGGCGGTAGAATGCATGCGCGGGCGGTGCGTGCAGCGTGTGGGTGATAAGCGGTTATAAATTACTATCTGTGCCGACAGCGTCGCTACCGACCGCGCCGTTTATCGCACGTAGCGTTCGTCATCATAAATCTGCGCCTAACTACAGCTATATTATAGCTATATATTTATACAACCACACACGCACACGCACACACACACACACACACGCACACACACACACACACACACCCGCACACGCGCGCACACACACACGCACACACACGCACGCACGCACGCACGCACGCTCGCCCGCACGCACGCACGCACGCACGCACGCGCGCGCACCCCTCCACACACACTAGATGCTGTGTCATCGCATCAAATAGCCTGTCTAAAAATCAGTACGGTATTTTTAAACTCAAATTTCTAAAGGTCACACAATTACAAAGTTGACAACGGACGACACACAAAAAGCACGCGACAAACTCATTCAGGTGTAAAATCATTTAAACAAAAAATGATCGGGATGGATGATTTACATGCTTGTCAATGGTGCATTAGCGTTTAAAATCAGATTGCAAGCATGTGTGTTCTGCTTTCAGGAGAGAGAGAGAGAGCGCGCCACTCACGTTCACAAACTCCGCGTTTAATAACGTTGCGTTCATGATGAAATCCGGGTAGCCGATTTTCTCCGTTATTCCCCTCGCCTGTAGGACAAAATAAATACACGCAACAATACGTTAAATGTCATCTCGCAATTTTCCCCGCATTTTCGCATAATCATTTCTGCGGTAAATATATGACGCGGTATATATATATGTTTAACAGCGTACACGGAGTGAATGCACGAGGCGTTTATAAAAATAGTAAGAGTAGTAAAGTAATAAACTCTTAATAGTAAGAGTATTAAACTGCTTGGCTCTCAAATGCGTAACGAGACGTATATATTATAATAGATAATATTCGTTCATGCATAATTTAGTTTTATTTCACATTTTTTTCTACTACCTTTTTCAAGGCAGTTGATTTCGTCGAGTCATCCATCCAAACAGACTCCTTCAGCATGTCTTCAAATGTTTCCCTGAGGTTTCTTATGATCTCCACAGACTGAGGATAAAGATAGAAACAAATAAAACACCACATCACATTATGAAGTCTTCGTACAAACGACGCGGGAAAACACAAATGTAAAATATATTTACGATAAAAAAATTACAAGATGAAGAAAAATCAAATTCTTTTATTCGGTAAGATATATAACTCAAGGGAACTCTGGAGTCATTACTGGAAAGGTCCGTGCAATAAATAAATCCCCGCTAGTGAAATTACTAGCATAAGCATAAGAACTCGATAGTTTATAGAGTTATAGTTATATATAGTTTATAGAGAACCATAAACGCTCGCTCATATATTTTTTTAACCCGGTAAAATGATCTGCGGCTAACGCCTCTGACGTCATGGAGTTTTTTCAAGCGGGACTCGGGTCATAATCGTAAAACTTTAGAAATCTTAGTCCATATAGTCGCTAACCTTTCGGAAACTAACCAGTTCAAGGTTAAAACGCGGGACACATGCGGGCATAATTGGCACGCGGCCAATAAGGAACGAAGAGAACGCGGTCACGTGCTCTAGCGGCCATGTTGTCATTGTAGTAGACGCCATCGAGAAAGTTCGGCAAACTTCGGCCGTTTTCGCCACTCCTCTTCGTTAGGTCATAGACTAAGAACAACTTATTACCTCAATAACATATTAACTTAATAACTATTATACCTAGAGTTATTCTTAGTTTATGGTTAGGTATACGGAGGTGGGGAAATCGGCCGAGATGTTTGGATATGAGTCGATAGGTGGCGCTGTTACCTGTTCTTTGGTTGCAGTCTGAAAATGTTTGCGCACGAACATGGCGCCGACGGCCATGCCAAAGTTTTCGTTGATGTACGAGACGCACTTACTCCAGCGAGAAGACTCGGTCATCGTTCCCAGTAACACCTACCAACGAAGGTGTAACGTTCAACCGTCACGATCAGTAAGATATATACGAATCATTAGGATAGCTGCCACCAGAGTGCGCGGAAGTGGTGTCTCATTTTGTGCTTTCAAGAATCTAAAACAAGTGGCTTCCTAACCTCTTCGGGCCGACATCATCTTGGATTCATAAACACATCCCCAATGCTACCTTACTCTACCCTACAAACCCATTGCACCTTAGCGTTTCCCAGGTATTCCCATCGCCCCCTGGGAAACTACGGCCCACATGGGGGACCACTGATCCATACACTGCTATTCCGAATACTTGATACTAATAGGCCTGAGTAGTCAATAAGTACGTACACGCACTTTAACCTTACTTAGCTTTCCCGCCATTATTCACATTCCCGTATACGTCTGAAACACATCGATATATGTCACCTGCTGATATTCCTGCTTCAGTCGTATGAATTCGCTGCCCATGTTCCCGACCCGGTGCTTGACGAACCGCCAGAGCAGGTAGTTGGCAATCACTCTAGAAAGAGAAGGAGAGTAAGAGAGAGAGAGATAGAGAAGGAGAGAAAGAGAGAGACAGAGAGGGAGAGAGAGAGAGAGAGAGAG